ATGTAGAGAGATGCAAGCTCTGCTGTGTCTCCTTCCTGCTCCAACAGCCCTTTGGCCATTTTACAAAAGAAAGACACATCCTCCCTCACCACAGCACAACTTGAAGTGTAAAAACTTCCAGGATATCAAATAAAGGGAGAGTTCAAAATTAAATTTAGAGTTATTATTTTGGGGGGATTTGCTAATGATGAGGTACATAAATTTTTCAATTTTTTGGGGGGGCATGCTGCAAAAAACATTTGATGACCACAGGTACAGAATAAACAGCAAAATATAATGAAGAAAGCATGGATTGTAGAGTCAGATATATTTGGGTTCATGTTTTGTCCTTATCTCTTGGGCCAAGTTAATTGCCTTCTCTGAACCTAGGTTTCTGCATAATTAAATTGGAGGTCACAATATTTCCTCAGAGGACTGGCATAAAAATTAAATGATGAGATATGTAAATTGCTGGCACTAGTACTAGTAAATATCAGCACCATTCCCCTACAATCCAGCACATTCTCCATGGCTGCCAGATGGTATTCTAAAAATTAATGCTCAGGCTATATTTTTAAATTACATATTCATGAACTTTCCTTCTGCATAACAATTACTAAGTAAAAGAAAGCCAGAATGAGCTGACCACTGTCCCCTAGATAGCCCTTATCAGACAGACATGTTGAAACCTAGCACATTCTAATACAAGAAAAGTAACTTCGCGGTGGAGAAATCTAACGCACACACTGCAGGGGAAAGCCTGTTGGTAGGATACCCTGTAATATAATGTGCTGAGAATGGGACCTTACCTCCATGGTCTTCCTTCACAAACCCAGAAAACCCAGTGTAATTATGAGAGGTTTAGTTAAGAGAAAAACAACAACAGTTATATCCCAATAGAGGGTTTCCGCAAACTATTGACCAGTACTCTTCAAAACTGTCAAGGCCATAAAAACAAAATCTAAGCAACTGTCACAGCCAAGAGAAATTAACACAGCCTCGGGAGATGAGACAGCCTAATGCAAGGTGGTATACTGGAACAAAAAGACAATATCTGTATTGTCTTCACTGTTTTTCTGTAAATCTAAAATTAATTTAATAAAGTTAATTACTACTGTTAAGCTTTGATCTGACAGTAAACTGTTGAGTTGGATGAATTGTTCTACTTTAACAGACTTTATTTTTCAGAACAGTTTTAGACTTACAGAAAAAATGAGCAGGTACTACTGAGTTCCCATTATTACTGTCTTCTCAGTGTTTCCTATTATCAACATCTTGCATTTGCATGGTACATTTGTTACAATTAATTAACCAACATTGACATGTTATTATTAACTAAAATCCACAGTTTAAATTAAGGTTCATGTGGTGTTGTATACAGATCTGTGAGTTCTGACGAATCTACTCTGTTACAGAATCATATAGTCCGATATCACTGTGCTAACAATCTGGTGTGCTTTGTCTACTCATCCCATCTACCCCTGGTAATCACTTATTTATTTATTTTTTACTTTCTCTAGTTTTTCCTTTGTCAGAATTTCATATAGTTGAGACCTCCCTGGTGGCACAGGAGTTAAGTCTCAGCACTATCAAGATATCAGCAGCCACTGCAGCATGAGTTTGGTCCCCGGCCAGGGAGCTGACCCAACATGATACAGCAGACCTCTCCTGTCTCTCCCGCTGCACCCCTCAGCAGTGTATTTCATTCAATCCACCTGTTCTGCTCCCCACTCTGTCACTGGTAAATCCTCTCACACACACCACCCGCACCTCTGGTCTATACCCCAGTTCTTGTATGCATACATAAATAAAAATAAATCTTAAAAAAATAAAAGAATGTCATATAGTTGTAGTTATATAATATGTAGCCTTTTCAGATTGGTTTCTTTCACGTAGTAATATGCATGTAAGATTCCTGCATGCCCTTTTGGGCTTCATAGTGCATTTCTTTTATTGGGAAATGCTACTCATTGTGTGGATACACCACCTGTGGAAGGACATCCTTGTTGTCCTGGTTTCAATTTTTGGTGATTTTCAATAGAGTTGCTTATAGACATCCTGTGCAGGTTTCTGTGTGGATATGAGTTATTTAGAAGTATATTTAATTGCCAAATACTTTAGAATTTTCCCGGTATGTCTCTGCTATTGATTTCTAGTTTAATTTCACTATGGCCTGAGAGCATACTTTGCATTTCTATCTATTAAATTTGTTTAGATACATTTTATGGTCTAGAATGTGGTATCTATTGGTAAATGTTCTATGTGAGCTTGAGAAAAATGTATATTCAATCGTTGGATGAAAAATAGGAATTGACATAGATCTCAACTAAAGCCAATTGATTGAAAGTGCTTTTCAGTTTAACAATATACATTTACTGATTTTTTGCCTGCTGGATCTGTCAGTGACTTGATAGGGTGTTGAAGTTTCTAATTATATTAATGTATACATGTAATTATATATTATGTGCTATGCATATATGGTTATGTATAGATATAAAGAGTGGGTACATATATTTATTTATAAAATAGTGGATTTGGGTTTTTTTTGTTACTGTTCTTTAGTTTTTCCCTCTATCTCTTTGGAAACCTCACTCTTTATCATTAAGTAATGCCCTTTTATGAAGCATTGGTGTTTTTAAGAGATTCAATAATATTCACTGGTGTAGTCATTTGACTTCTTTATGGGAAGATTTAAAAATTACTAATTCAGTTTCTTTGAATTAGTAAATTGGCCTATTCATATTTCTATTTCTTCTTGAGATAGTTTTGTTGATTTGTCTTTCTATGAATGTGTTCATTACATCTAAATTGTCCACCTTATTGACATGAAGTTGTTTACAGTATCTCTATATAATTCTTTCAATTGCTATACCATTTTCACTCCTTGTTTTGGTAATTTGTATCTGCCTTCTTAATTTCTTGGTCAGTCTACTTAAAGGTTTGTTAATTTTGTTGATCTTGACAAAGAACCGATTTGTGGTCTCATTGATTTATTGTTTTGCTGTTCGCTATTTCATCAATATCTGCTCCAATCTTTATTTCCTTCCATCTGTTTGCTCTGGGTTTTTTTGCTTTTCAGTATCTAGTTTAAGGGGGAAATTTTAGGTTATTCATTTGAGGCCTTTTTCTTTTCTGATATTGGATTTATAGCTATCTACACTTTAAACATTAGTTGTATTGTGTACATTTTAAAATCTTGTATTTCATTTTCAAATATTTAAAAATTTCTTGTTATTGTTTTTTTCTTTGACCCATGAGTTTTAGAGAGTATTGTTTAATTTCCAAATATTTTGGGGTTTCTCCTGTTTTTTTCTTTTACTGGGGATCTTAATTCCATGTACCAAAGAGCATACATGGTATGTGTTCAATCCTTAAAAATTTATTGAAACTTGTTTTGTGGCCTAGCATATGATTTATTATTCAGTTGGAAGCATTGAAAAATATAATTTCAATGTCTTTAACAAACTTTTTTACAGTGATATCATTCACATACCATAAATATCACCCTGTAAAGTATACAATTCACTGTTTTCTAGTGTACTCACGAGACTGTGTAAACATCACCACAATGGAATTTCAGAACATTTCATTACCCCTTAGAAGAATCTCTACCCACCAGCAGTTAATCTATTTTCCCCTTACTCAAGGCACCAGGTAACACCTAATAGGCTTTGTCTCTATGGATTTACCTATTTAGGACATTTCATATAAAGAGAACATTAAACATGCGGCCTTTTTTTTTTTTTTTAATCTGGGTTCTTCATCTAGCATAATGTTTTCAAGGTCCATCTACACTGCAGTATATTTATGCCTTTCAGGACTGAATAATATTCCATTGTGTGGATATACCACATTGTCTCATACATTCATCAGCTGATGGTCATTTATGTTATTTTCACTTTGGGGCTACGACAAATACTGTTGTTAGGAAATTCGTACAAATTTTTATCTGGTGCACATTTTTTAAGAAGTATATAATCTCTAGGCTATGAGTTAAGTACCTGTTGCTCGGAAACGGAGTGGGGGGTGGAGAGAGAGAGAGAGAGAGAGAGAAGGAGAACACACATGCTAGAGACAGACAGAGACAGAGACTGATACTATGTGTCTATGTGTCTGTCTTTCTCTGTGTGTGGCCAACCCAAGTTCCTGAATATTTACAAATAGTCTCTGGGTATAAGAAGAGGCCTGAAGGGCTGAGTCAACTCTTAATGGCTTAGCTCTACCCTACATGCTTCAACTTTCCCTGGCTACATGCCTTACCTTCTGTTCTGAACCACATGTAAGTGAGCCCTGCAGGGTGGGAAATGAGCCATGACATTCATGCCCAAAGAAGCCAGTACACATACACACAGCGTATATTCCTATTATGCTTTGGGGATGAAAGGAAAAGTGATATGTATCATTTTGTGATTCAAGTAAAGCTATAGTGAAAATCCTGTTCTCAAGTTGGGGGAACAAAAATCATCCATCAATCAATGAATGTGATGATACCCAAATACTACTTTGGTCAGAAAAATAATCCCACATAAACCCCCACTTTTCTCTCCTTTGGGTCCTAAAACTTTCATCACTATACTGCAGTGCATCTGTGGAGAGAAGCGTGTGGTTAGCCAGACAGTTATTCACCAGCGTCCTCTACTTTTATTCCTCGCTGTCGGTTCAGTTTAGGCCTTTTCTCTGAGATTGCAGCTTCCCATTCCCTATCACTTGATCCTGAAATGGTTTGAGCATCCTTCCTCCCCGATCTGCCTTCAAAACAAGAATCTGAACACTCCTTGTCACCTACAAAGGGCGAGCGAGGTGATGTTCTTTACAACACTATAATCTCATTCTCGATAAAGGTTGTGAAGAGTAGGAAACAAATAAAGGAAACCAAGGGGTAAAAGTGTTCTCCGAGAAGACGGAAAATCAGATCCAGGACAAAGAGAGACAGGACTTGACTAAAACTTGCTCTGATCTGGCCAAATAGAACGACATAGGACATATTCAGGCATACTTTTAAAAGACAAGATATTCTGTACCTGCTTGTTGAAATATCCTCAAAAGGGTAGAGAATCTCTCCATTGTTACAGATTTCACAGATGAACCCCTTCTGGCTACAAAGACTGCAGCTGTACACGTGTGAGGTGGCAAATTTAATGACCTTGCCCAAGAATGGAGCCAGCTTCCCCTCTATCACCTGCGGAAAGAGAAATGGGCCAGGGAAGTCAATTCATTGAGAACAGAAGTCTTGCAGACGCAGAAGGACTGGAATTCCTTTCCTTCACACAACAGGAAAACCTCTAATTATAATTTCTCAGCAATACTGAGAAAGAAAAGACATGGTATTTTGGTTCCAAAAGAACTCTCTGGCTTAAACCACTGGAGGTTGGAAAATGAAGATATTGAAACTTTTTTTATTCCTTTTTCTTCACATGGTATAAGGGGACTAAGGACCAGCAAATGGAGAACTCTACTCTCATAGACCAACTTGATAGTTTTGCTGTGGTATAGAGGAGTATTGTGGATTCCCCAAAGTAACCTGGAAACATACTGGGCAAATAAAATGTAAAATTTTATATTACACATTCAGTAATACCTTTTCTCTGGAGTGTTAATGGGGTAGTTTTTTTCACCATCTCCTCCAAGAACATAAAAGATATGGAGAAAAGCAGGTTCTTTTGCTTCTGGTAAGTATAATAACATAAAGAAGCTGCAATTTGGCAACTCAAGGGCCATATCCAGTCTGAACATTTTTTTTTTTAAAATCTCTTAGTTTAAAAAATGAGCCAATTTAATAATTGGGAAATTTCACATAAGAATCCATATGTTTGGCTTCTTTTAGAGAATCATTATATACAGCAAAATGAGGCCTGACTTCATGATGATGAGCCTGACTCCGAGGAGGGATCGCTCCCTCCCATGAAGGCATCACCTCTCCGGTGATAGGGGACCCCACACCCCTACTGAATGCATCTGCCTGCCCACCCCCACAGTTACCTGCAGGCCCATACACATGCCTAAGGTTGGGACTTGTGGTCGGTCCGACCCCTCCATGCTTAACCAACATTGCATGTGCCTCAAAGACATCAGCAGTTCATACCCTGACAAGATAAAATCTGCTGCTCTCTCCCTTATGAACACATTCCACTACATGCTGATTTTGATAGAATACGAAAAAAATTATATTTGGAAATAGTTGGATACTTTCAAATTAATACACAGTGGAAATGTCAATTTTACATACAAATGATATCTGAGGGAAATAGAATAAGATATACCCAGAGAGAATGCCAGTATGATTAATGCCAGTACCAACATGAGTAAATACTAGAGACTGATGAAACAAAAATAAAAGACTACAAGGAAGGTAATGATCTATTTTGCTAAAAAAGAAGCTAAATGTAACAGTAGAGATGAAAACTGAGGTGGTTTTCTTATTGTGAAACAATCTCATGAGTGTTTTAAAAGTGAAGCTAGGGCCTCCCTGGTGGTGCAAGGGGTTAAACATAGCACTGTGTAGTTGTCCGCAGCCTCTGCAGCGTGAGTTCAATCCCTGGCCAGCCAGGGAGCTACCCACATGGTGCAGCAGACCTCTCCTGTCTTGCCCACTGCTCCCCTCAGCAGTGTATTTCAGTCAGTCTGCCTGTTCTGTTCCCCACGCTGTCTCTGGTGAAGCCTCTCACCCACCACACCTCTGGCCTGTACCCCAGTTCTTGTATGCATAAATAAATAAATCTTTAACAAAAAAGAAAGAAAAAACTGCTTAAAAAAGTGAAACTAGACCACTTTGTACATCATATTAAAAAATTAACTCAACGTGGTTTAAATACTTGGACATGAGACCAGAAACCATGAAATTCATAGGCAAAAACACAGAGAAAATACTCCACGGCACTGACTGCAGTGATGTCTTTGGGGACTTATCTCCAATGGCAAGGAAAACATAAGCAAAAATAAACAAATGGGAATGACTACATCAAACTAAAAGGCTTTTGTGCAGTGAAAGAAATTACCATTAAAATAAAAAGATGTCCTACCAAATGAGAGGAAATATTTGCACATCATATATCTGACAAAGGGTTAATATCCAAGAACCACACAGAACTCACAGAATAAAAAAATAATCCAATCACGAAATGGGCAGAAGAGTTAAACAATTCTCCAAAGAAGACATACAGATGGCCACAGGCACATGAAAAAATGTTCATCATCACTTATCGTCAGGGAAATGCAAATCAAAGCCACAATGAGATATCACCTTGCACCTGTGAGAATGGCCCATATCCAAAAAAAAAAACAGAAACAATAAATGATGGCAAGAGGGTGGAGAAAAAAGAACCTGTGTACACTCTTGTTGGGAAAGCAGACTGGCCCGGCTCCTATGGAAAACAATATAGAGTTTCCTCAAAATATTAAAAATAGTTCCACCGTATGAGCCAACAATTCCACTCCTTGGTATTTACCCAAAGAATGCAAAAACACTAATTCTAAGTGATGCATGAATTCTATGTTCATTGCAGCACTATTTACAGTAGCTAAGTTATAGAAACAACCTAAGTACCCAGAAGCAGATGAGTGGAATACTACTCAGCTCTAAAAAAAAAAAAAAGAGATGCCATACTGCCATTTCTGAGAACATGGATGGAACTGGAGGGAATTATGGTAAGTGAAATAAGTTAGAAGGATAAAAACAAACACTGGATGATTTCACTTACGAAGAATATAGAGAAAACAAAGGAACTTACAAAACTAAACCAAATCAGACCCTATAGATATTAACTGGAGAGCTGAAGCTACTGCAGTGGGAGAGTGGGAATGGGGACAAAGGGATGGGGGACATTGGTCCTGGTGAGGACTATGGGTATTTTGGTAGTGGGTGTGGTGTGATAACAGAGATCTGAAGCGATGTGAACTTATTTCCCTTAAATCATATAGTTTTGTAAATCAATGTTATTAAAAAACAAACAAACAAACCAAAACTCTAGGGAAGAGAACAAGTTGGAAAAGCAAGTCTCTTACTTTGTATATAGTTTGTTTTTGCATTAAAAAAATATGTACTATTGTTGCTAAGATGTAGTCGGTGAACAGAAAAATTGGGCTTTCTATAAGAATGGACTATTCTTAAAGGGGGTAGATATTATGCAGGCTTTTTTTTTTTTTTTTTTTAGTCAAGCAAGCACAATTTCCATTATTCTTTAACTTACTCTCCTCTCTATTACTTTCAGAAAGTCATAAATAGACCTACTTTAATTTCTGTTTTCTCAAGGACCATTAAGTCCAATAAACCCTAGTAAAGTGTACTCCTAATACCAACACATGATACATACTTTCTAAGAAATAACCAAATCATACACTCACCGACCGGAAAACACTTTCCAATGTATCATAGGGTTATTGTAGTAACAATACTTCAGCTGAATTTGATTTTACTTATATTACTCTTCCTTGAGCAACCAAGATTAATGATACATTTAAAAAGAGAGGCATTGGGGGCCTCCCTGGTGGTGCAGGGGTTAAGACGCAACCTATGAAGCAATCTGCAGCCACTGCAGCACGAGTTCGATTCCTGGCCGGCCAGGGAGAAACCCACATGGTGGGACAGACCTCTCCTGTCTCTCCCACTGATCCCCTCAGCAGTGTACCTCGGTCCATCTGCCTGTTCTGTTCTCCGCTCTGCCTCTGGTGAATCCTCTCACCCCCTGCATCTCTGGCCTGTATCCCAATTCTTATATAAAAATAATCTTTAAAAAAAAAAGAGAGAGAGGCATCGGGCCTCCCTGGTGGCGCAAGGGGTCAAGCACTGTACTATAAAGCAATCTGCAGCCTCTGCAGCATGAGTTCGATCCCCGGCCGGCCAGGGAGAAACCCACATGGGGAGACAGACCTCTCCTGTCTCACCCGCTGCTCCCCTCAGCAGTATATTTCTGTCAGTCTGCCTGTTCTGTTCCCCACTCTGTCTCTGGTGGATCTTCTCACGCTCTGCATCTCTGGCCTGTGCCCCAGCTCCTGTGTGCATAAATGAATAAATCTTTAAAAAAAAATAAAAAGAGAGACATTAACAAACTGCAGTCCATTTAGGGCAAAACATTAGGATGGTCTGGAAAATAGGCAAATAAAGGTTGTTTGAAAGTAAGAGATAATAATGAGGACATGAGTATTACCATCTAGAAACTAAGGAGAATATTGGACATAATACATGTAAAGCTTTTTCTCTATCTAGAAGATTTCCTTGGGACAAAGGACAAGAACATTTGAAGACTTTTGAAATATTTCACCTAATTTACACTGCAGCAATAGATATTAATTCCTATCTAGAGACTTCTTAATAAGTTTTTACAAAAATTTAAAAACATTACCAAATAACCTGATCCATAGCTTCCTTTTATTAAATCTGCACTTATTGTTTAATTAAAGTTTTTCCCCTTAAATAAGCCACTTGCATTTTATTATTTATTTATTTCAACGTTCAACTTTTGTATTTTTTTATTAACTATTGATGAAATACTAGAATACAATGACACTTGTGTACATCTGAATTCTCATGAATGCTAATAATTTTTAGGTGATTTGTTTGGGTTTTCTGAAAGTAATAATTTGATCCACCTCTTGTTTATGTTTCATGTCCTATTTCATTATCCAACACACCTAAAACAATATTAAGTAATAATTATGTTACTGGACATTTTGTTCTTTCAATGAGAAACAAATTGGAAATTATGGAGTCTATCAAGTGTGGCTTATTTTATCCATTTAAATGCATACATCTTGTCACTCACCATATTTATTCATTATCTCTTTTATAATAACAGCTTTATTGAGATATAATTCACACACCTATTTAAAGTCTACACTTAAATAGCTATTAGTTTATTCAGGGTTGTATAAAAATTACAATTAACTTAAGAACATTTCATCAACTCTCCCCCCAAACCCTGTACCCATTAGCATTGCTCTCCATCCTCTAACCCCCACCTTGCCCCACGTGGTCCCCCAAGCCAAGATAAAGAATGATCTATTTTATGTCTCTATAGATTTATCTGCCCCATACATTTCATGTAAATGAAATCATATAGCATGTGACTTTTATTTTGTGACTAGCTTCTTCACTTAGCACAAATTTTCAAGGCTCAAGCTGATTTTCTTTTAAATGTCTTTTTTATAAGTCTCTTTTTGACCATCCCTGCCTAGATTAGTGAA